CCCCAAAACCCCAAAACCCCAAAACCCCAAAATGCTGTACAGAGCAGGATTAATTAAAAGTAAAATTGTAAATATTACTTAATTCTCATAAATGAAACAGCAATAGGCCCCTTTGCAGCATCAGAACTTCAACCAGACTTTCTAGGTCACCTCCTCACAGTTACATCCACATACTATGAACCCCTAGTTCAGCAATAAACTCAGTCGCAATAGTAATAATTTACCTAAGCAAAAGACTTAAAACTACAGGTCCGAATCTTAGACAGAGTAGCTGCAGAATATTATGCAATAAGCTGCTGTGGCCTCGACATAATGATAGCAATAATAATAAAATAATTATCCTAGCAACAACAAAGAGAGAGGTAACTCAGCTCTTAATCATAGAGTAATATTGACATACCAGCTACCCTCAAACGACCCAGTGCTTTAGCCTTATATAACACCACAGCCCAAGCCTTAACTACTAGCGAGTCAGCAGTAATAATAACAACATCAAATCTAATATAATATGAATAATCTTGCTTCATATCAAATCTAGTAGCAGCAGCTCAGTAACAACTATAACTAATCTATTAACAGCGCAATCGGCCATCAAAGCTAGATGCAAAGCAATGGAATCTCAGTTCAAACTAAGTTTAAGAGCAATAAAGGCAGCATTGTTAGTAACTCGGCTTTAGCTTATCAATAGCCATCTTCATCGAATAGCTTTTCGATTAGCAACAGCTTGGGAAATAATTAAAAAGCAAATAAAAATCTCAAAAAGGCTATATAAGATATCTATGAAAGAAACAACAGTCATTAGCAGACAATGCCCTCTCGGATAGGTCTACCTTCAGCTCTAGACAACAATCCAAACAACCAAATTTTGACGCCATAATAGTTGATTTTACGCAATCAAAAGAGATCTTAGTCTGTCGAGAAAAATGTTAATCAATAGGTATATAAGGCAAGACTCTAGAATCAAAAATTGAATCTTAATCAAACACAGAATTTGAGCTTTAAACTGCCTGAGAGTTCTTAATAAAACTGACTCAATATGAATTTAAGTGCGAATAACGCCTAAACAATCAATCAAATCTTGAAGAAAAGAAAGCAGACAACATCTGATGCAATTCGAATGGGATTAGGGGCATAGTATGAATTAATGGATTAACTCAATAACACGACAATATTTAATGAACAGTAACATGCGTCGTAACTTTAGCATCATGAGGCTAAAGACCACTTTATTAATATGGCTATAGAGAGAAGAATTGAGAAATTCTCTAGTTAAAACACAGTAGAGAAAAAGAGAAATAAATCAAGTGACAAGGCGAATACTGCTTTGAATAAACCCTTTCAGCAACTACTACCAGACGATTATCAAATTGAAGATCAATTCTTGCTCATCCAATAACAATAACTTCAGCATTAGTAGCAAATAGATATCAATAAAAGATACTTGAAACAATTTATTGAGTAAAAATAAAAGAGGACTGGGATGGATCATTCCGTAGATGAAAGCAAGCTAGACTAGGTGTAGATACCTGATATACATTAAATACTTGAGAAGTATCAAACATAGATGAAAAGCTAACATATGATTAATGAGTAAAAGATAGGCAAGTTAAAGATACAGACTAAGCTAAATAGTAATAAGCCTGAACAAGCCTCTTAGTACAGTCATAACTTCGATAACATGAATGCTAGTCAAAGATCTCCAACAGAAAAAAGAACCCTTGAAAAGGGTCTGCAGCCATTGAATTCTATCAAACTTGATAAGCTAGATATTAAGCCCTAGCAGTAACAGTTTTTGTAAGGTCAGGGATAGTAGCTCACACCAAGTAAGCTGCATTCACCTCCTTCACAACTCGAGAATAACTTCTTGCTTTCCCCTAATGTCAAAAGTGGTCGAAACTCCAAGCTCTCTAAGATATAAAGGTTCAATGAAAGAGAGCAATCCATTCAGTCTAATAACTAGGATGGGAATCAAGTAGATGAAATGAGCTAGATAAACACTGAATCGAACTTGGAGGATATGGCTCTGATGTTAATGAGTGTAAGTGATGAGCATTTTATTAACAAAAACAGTGAGGAGACAGAGAGTGCCAGCAGTCAGCCTAACTTGCAAAGAGTCACTAAAAAGGAAATGCTGAAACTGCTTAATCGAGTAATGGACCGAAATAAGCCTTTGTTCTTATTCAATAGCAAGCATAGCACTAAAGACACTATGGGTGAAACTGGAACACCTTCGTTTAGTATGATAGCTTTGATCGAAAAGAATTGAAATGAAATTTGATGCTATTAGCTTAAGGATAGTCCTTAACTATAGCATGATATCTATACATATAAGCTTAAAGAGTATTGAAATGTTAATTATCGATTTAATTTATGAAATTATATAAGATAAACAATTGTATTTATTACAAATATCAAACTAATTAAGCGGCCTTTCTCATAATTTAAGTTTAAATATACTCCTCTTTCGATTGGTAATTTTAAGCTCATTTAAGTATAACCAATTGAATTAATTCAACTTGTAGTGATTCTTGTAATTATACTTAGCCTTATTGCTATTTCTATTAATTTCTTAGTACCAAATCGTATTTTTATATGTGATGCTCAAATAATGATTTCAACCTTAATGAGTATATTTTATCCATTACTCCAAACACAACAAATCCAAAAGCAAATGAAGGTATCAAATAATAGAATGTTGCTGCTAATCTGAAATCACTAATGTTTGGCAATAATCCGATTGGCACAACAAATATCATAACCAAGAACGAGCTTATCACAACTCTAATAGTTGATGGCACACTAATCTCAGACTTGGATATATTATAGCCCAAGAATTAACTGTAAAACAGAATGCCTAGATAAGAACCATAAGCAAGTGCTAGCATGCTGCCATTCATTAGATCTTGTGCAGCCATATCCCAGCGATTTACCTTCTGATTCCCACATATTCTAGTAAAATTAGTTTGCCAAGCTTATGGTTCATTGAATACCAGCTTTTAATATTGATATGCAGAGATCAGCATCCCATAAAATACCATAAAAAGAGCAGTAGAAATCACGAGTTAATCATAGAGCTTATATCTTAACAATGTAGATTCTAGAAGTTCATCAACATGCTTAATGAACTAATTTCTAATACAATAATGTAAGATCAGTCCAATCACAATCCCCAATTCCCACCCAAGAAGAATTTGATCAAAAGTTGCATGGACATTGTAGATTCTTGTAATACCTGTAATGAAACTCAACAATATCCCAAAAAAACTTAGCAAGCATGTATTTGTTGGGTGAGTATTCGGATTACTAACTTCAATATCCTTTGCAATCACAGTAAGTAAGCATGTTACAATAAATGTCACATCTGATGGATTCCCAAATGTCTTGCTACAGTTATATACTTCCAGATCAGTATTTATTACCATATATGGGCGTGGACTGCTATATAACAACCTTAGTATGCTAAGTGCGAAAAAAACAACTGAATTCACGAATATATAATAGAATGCTTTTGATTTTTTCATATAACCAAGAGATGCGATAACAGTAATAATTTATAGTCCTTAGCTTAATTGCTATGAGAAATCGTAAATGGAGTACTATATATTCTCTATATTGAATTTTGCTAAGTTTTACATGATTTGCAGGCTCTCTTAAAACAGATACTGCTCTTAAACTGACTAGAATATCAAAATTACACTCAGGAGTAAACCTAGCACCTGTAAATATGATAAATCGAAAGTTTAGACCATTTAAATATTTATTAAACTATTTTAAACTGATTATATTACCTCACGGGGTTTTGGGGTTTTGGGGAGATCGGAAGAGCACAC